GAAGTGAACTTAACTTCTTTTTCGTCCGACCCGTAACGATATACGTACATTTTGGCACGTAACCCGACAAACTCTTGGATCTGTTTCCCGTCACGAGCTTCATCTTTAAAACAACCAATCCGACCTTTGTTTGTATCGTCTTTAAGTGGGTGAGCATCCGGATATACAGACAGATCCAAATGTGTTGATGCTATCGGACGCAAGAGATCGAATATGTCACAGTCCGAGGTCAGGTGTATCAGAAGTGAGTCTGTGTCTGTGTAACATAAGCGTAACTTGTCAATATGAGTACACAGCACATCATAATAGAACCTATTCATGTGAGTTTTTGCTATGTCTAGAACACACATTCCGGCATAAATTGGGACGTTCAACAAGACAGACTTCCTTTGCATATAAACAAGCACAACGTTTGGCGCTACTATTACATGTTCGGAAAATTGAGGGTTGCGGATCAGCTTTTGAAGGAGACTGTCTTTGGTTACTATCCTGACATCACGATGGTTCCGTCTGTTCATCAACAATCTACCGTAGTTAGCATTGTTCATTAGTTTATATATGTTTCTGTAGAAATCGTTGGTAGAACCGGCTCTCTTTTCAGCGTTGAAATCAACAAATTTTTTCATATAAGGTGACTGTGAAAACGAGATTGCACGGTGTACTTTAGTCACAACTAAACCTAACTTCACGGCTTGTTGAAACACTGTATAGTGTGCCACGTACTTTACCTTGTCATATAGCGTTGCCAATAGTTTTTTTTCTCTGCTACCCGGAGGGACCTCAAGTTCCGGAAGGAGAGGTAGATCCTGTAGTTTGTCGTGAACACAGTCCGGTACTGTCACATCAGCTTCCATTATATACCCTGTTGGCGCGTCCAATGGAAGGGTTGACCAATCCAACGTTTCCGGGGATTCTACAAACTTAAAGTTTCCTGTCGGTAGGTAACTGGACTGTGCGTACCCATACAAGTTCAGAGCATCCAACATTAGTAACCATGTTTTTGGCTCGTTTTCGTTGTAATCTGACGGGTTGCTAAGGTATGGGTTGTTAGCTACGGCATGCCTGAGACTGACCTGCACAAGTCCCCCTCTGATACCGGACTCGATCATTAATAACATATCCGGATCTGTGAGAAGCTCGAGGGTGACACGGGTCATCCGAAGCATTGATTTATATGCAAGACCAGGTGCAGTGTAAACATGACAACAATCGATTTTATATGATTCCAAACATGTTTTTCTGAAGGACGTAAGAATGTCGGCAAGTAGACAAACATCGAGTTTTAAGTAAAAATTGTGGTATTCACCAAACGTTTTCATTTTTAATTTTTCCCATACGGACCGTGCGAACTCGTAATCTTCTTCTGAACACGGTTCATTGTTCAAGCGGTCAAAAAATGCATCCCGTGACGGTAACTCGGTTTGGTCAAAGACCGCTGTCGTGGTTACAAAATCATATGGATAAATACCTTTGCGGCGGACAAGGTCTAGGTGTTCAGGTGGGACTAATTTTGACGATTCAACAAGTTCACTCTCAGACAAGATGTTTGCCAGTTTGGCCAAGCTTGACGACATGAGTCTGAAAGAATCCAAATAACGGATCCAAATTCTGCCTACCCGTACCGATATGGCAATGTATTTGTCGTTAGTACATGGAATTACTTTTACTTCACAATCCGGAACTATAGAAAGACTTTTTATTATAAAGTTTCCGTCATAGTTAGACATACCGTGTCAATATACCGGTATAAAGTTAACAGTAGAACATCGCAAGTTGCATTTACCACAGAGAATGAGTCGGAGGTTTCCGGTCACGTGACAATGATCAATTACTTTAATACAAGTGCTGTCGTTGAACGGTCTCTCGCATAATTCGCATTCGGTAGTTGTTTCAAATCGTTCGTTTTCTTCCGCTGTTAGTGTTTTTAACGGTTCTTGTCTCGTGTACAGTTGTTCGACACGTGCGGCAAGCTGTTGCATATGGATCTTGAAAGATTGAGCGGCATTGGGAGTACGGTGTAGTTCTGGTTCCATACTAATACCTACTTCGTGCAGCTTTTCAACAGGTAGAGTGGTTTTTACAAGTGTACAGTAAGAGTTGGGTTCGTGACACTGGTACGAACGATCAGACCCCACAATCGGCACTAACGTAGCTTCAAAATCAGCAACGACAATAATTGGGACCGGAATTTGGTATTCAAATTCCTAAAAATTTCAAAAGGTTTTCCCCTTCTTTCGGGAGACGTGTGGTAGCGAGTTTGAATTTTTTACAAAGCCGCAAATGATCTTCGAGCCATATTTTGGGACCCATTTTACACTTTCTAACTTCTCGGTGTGTCGAACACCGTTTGCATATGACAATTTGATTGTGGCCAGCCGCCACCTGCGGTCTGATCAACTTTGCAAAATCCGTGATGTATACGTAATGTGAGATGTTAGCACCAGCCCAGTACAACAACAAATCGATATGATCATCTTTTTCGTCAACAACACGTAAAGGGCTTATATCACAACCCGGAGCTGTTTCGAATACGTTCACTGATGTGTTTGGGTTGTCCCTTTCGAATATGTTAATAGACGATACTGATACTGATACTCAATCTGTCCTCAACCTACTGACCAAGATCTAGATTTTCAGTCCTCGACCATGTCCTAAATTTTATTCAGATCAGTGGGTCGCCCCACCCCGGAATAGGGAGGGGGGGCCTCAACTGCGGGTTTATAAGACTATCGGTTCAAGCTACGAAAGCACAGTTTGCTTAGCACACACATCCGCTGCACACCTTCTTGGTAAGTGCTACTGGTTTCTCTTTTTTACACCTACTCACAACTTTTTACATTTTGACAATACTTTACACTCTGCTCACAGACGTACACACTTACTTATTGACAGGATAAGAAATAACAAGAACTATTGTTACGTTATACAGTTATACAGTTTTTATCCTGTTTACTGCGAGGCTCGGTTTTATTTGTAGGTTTTAGCGTGGTTTTGTGTATACATACGTTTTTTATAAACAAAAGCTGAAGCGTGTACAAGTTTTGTGAGTTTGACCATTTTATGATGCATACTTAACTTTATTTACAGACCTCTTGTTTTCTGGTTTCTAGTTACACTACACTACTTTTGGGTTGTGAAAGTAACAATAACAGTAAACAGCAGTACATTTATTTTTATTTGAATAAATCGATAATCTCGTTATCGTCTATACTATTATATCCTGACGACGATGATAATGACGACATCAATTCGTCAAGCTCTTCTGTCAATTCATCATCGTCGTCAGGTATCACAATTGGCGACGGCATACGTGGTGGTGCTGCTGTAGAGGTGTGTGGTGTGTGTGATGGCTCAGCAGTGTCTGAGCGTGGCTGCAGTGGGGGGGAATTGAGTATGGAGCAGAGCATCAAACATTGTTTTTTTGTAGGCGGGCCCTGTCCCTCTGTCGGTCTCTTTCCCCCACGGTATCGAACCAGTGATTAGTGGCGCATAGCCGCCGCCATTCTTCCAGCTGTAACAGATTGTTTAGTTTAGAGTACAGTTTGTCAAATCGGCGTTTTACTGTGGATATTGGTGTGTCTTGGTTTACAAGTGTTGTATGAGTTTTAACTATAACATTGACAAAATAGTTTATCTGGTTTACAAAGAATATTACCGTTCACTGCCTAGTTGTATTTTTAACATCAAATACTTTGTGGTTTTGGCTGGAGTTTTGATAGTCGGTGGGAAAATAGTAGTTACGCCTTGATCAGATTTATAATATTACTGTCATTCGTCTGGCAAGTTTACCGTAGTGCTGGATCGTAGGTTTCTTAGGAAGGTTGTTATTTTCACATATTTACTTTGACTACGTTTGTTAATCTTCAACTGCTCAAGTGTTATTCGGACAATACTACAATAGTATACTTCATAGCTAGGGCCAAAAATTAGGTTTTACCAGCTCGAGATATTTTTAAGTTTGAGACGAAGTCGGGAAGGAAGGTTGTTATTTTCTCGTATTTACTTTGACTACGTTTGTTAATCTTCAACTGCTCAAGTGTTATTCGGACAATACTACAATAGTATATTTCATAGCTAGGGCTAAAAATTAGGTTTTACCAGCTCGAGATATTTTTAAGTTTGAGACGAAGTCGGGAAATCGATCGAGTGCTGCAAAACCATTTCGGTCCGTGGTACGAACGCTATTTTTCACCACACCCTATTACCACTTTTCACGACTATAGCCAACACAACTACAACTTGTTATGTTAAGAAATAATTTCAGGAATCAGCAAAAATAAAAATTGGTGATAATAACACAATTCTATTGCAATGCTATGGATTTTGATTGTGTAAAATGCGAGGGCGTTGGAGTGCGGCCATGTTGGATTTTTACCTCCATAAGAACAATGTTAAACTTAAACCCAGATATCTCACTTATTTGCCAATATAAAATTGTGAACTATGTTTCAAATTAAAGGCATATTTGATACACATCATTATTGCGGGAGACTTTTTAACAAAAGTAAAGGGATTTCTAGGAATATAGAATACAAAACCTATATATTCATCAATTTATTTTAGCTTTGCTAGGACGTTATAGAAGAAACTATTCCGCAAACATGATCCGAAATGTTATTAAGATTAAAATAAAATATATTTCAAATCATTAAGTCAAACAGTAACAAAAAATATGCTTTTAAGTGAAGGCATGTTCCGCACATTTCAATAGGAAATTGCCACTGGTTTGCATGCGCTCTCCTGGCATCGTTAGTGTCAGCGAAGATTTTTATTCTGACTCCAACGCCCTCTTGCCACCCTATAAAAACCTGCTCGGTCCCCAAATTACGATGACAGCTGGCTAGCAAAACGTAACTTTCAGCCCGTATGTAATACAGCCAAAAACATAGTGTGGTGAAATCTCAATTTAGCGTACTAGATAAATAAACCCCGGTCTCCAAACACAAAACAGCGGCAAGTGACACGATCGCAGCACTAACAGGATTATATGTTTCAGAACCATGTCTGCTGATCTCCGTACAAAACTGAACAAGCTAGTGGTTGTCGAGGGACCCTCTAGAATCGCAATGACCGAACTTACAAACCCTGCTGGCTACACAATTACAGCGGCACGATTACACAGCCACGCACAGTACGGGATTAGCGTTATTCTAGAGGTATTAGTGGACAACATAGTGAGGATGGTGTTTCTTCCAAAACGGTTCGGACAAACTCTGTCCCAATCGGATGTAGATACGCTGGCTAACGGGACATACAAAGTTAAATGTACCGGCATCACCAACCGCTCTCCAAATGTTGTAATATTTCAATGAGAAAATATAGACACATATTAACAGACATTTGTTATTATTCCACTACCTTATTTACCTGGTGAATAGCTGGTGACGTCTTCTACCACTTCGTACGTCTTTGAAGGTACAACATCGAAGTGGCGTCGAAGCTTCGCCAGAGCTTCCCTCCCTCGGCGATGGACTCGAACTCAAACAAGACGTTGAAGATCATGTTTCAAACTGATGTTAAGTTTGGAGTACTTAGTCTTTATACTATCGGCTCCACTCACCGGCCATAACCCGAATTGCAGTTTTCGGTTACCTTGAACTGCACACACCTTGGACTAATAACCGCATTGCAGCTGCACTTGACATTACACAACGGATCCGCTAACCCACTGACTACACAAGGTCGCCGCACCGGTTCGCGGCCACTGCAATATCCTAATATCACATTAGCCAAAGAAACCGCTGGGCACAGCGAGTATAGCCACCAACTCGGACAACGCCCAAACACCGCTCAACAACAAACTATAGTAGTAGTAGTTAAGGTAGAGGATATATATACTACTGAATTTCCCTATAGGGAAGTAGCTATTACCGTAGGTCTCATGGTAACACTTAGGCCCGGGACCGATTTACTTTTTCATTTTGATGTCCCCAGAGGCCAAAAACACCATTCGTTCAAATTTTTATATATGTATATATATATATATATATATATATATATATATATATATATGTGTGTGTGTGTGTGTGTGTCCGTGAACACGATAACTTGAGTAATTTTTATCCGATTTTGATGAAATTTGGTTTAAAGGTGTAAGGCGGGATAAACTTGAATGAGTTCGCGATCCAGCATGATCGGACCATGGGAACAGGGTTTTATGGGGGGTTTTATGGGGTAAAAATTGGTTTTTCTCACTTTTGACCCTCAAAACACAAAATTTCCTAATTTTCCTCTAAACCTTCTTAAAGAGCTTAAAAAAACAAACAATTCAGTATATCAAAGTGTTTTTGTACGGTTATTGTTACGGAGAAAACTAAAAAATGGTCAATTTAAAATTCCCATGTTATTCTTATGGAGAATATTGTAAAATGTTGTAGTTTGCTTGTTTATGGATATCTTTTGATCAAACTTATTCATTTTATACTAAGCAATAATTATTTTACATAAAACACACACTTTATTAGTTACCTTGTAGCAGCAAACCTAGGTACTCATTAAACCTAATGTTATTTAAATAGATCAATTGAAAATCAATTCAGCCAAATGGAAATTCGCTAAGACGGCAGGTTTGCTGCGGCGGGGGTATTTATATTTAAAAACGCATGCTTGGCAAATAATAATTAATGTGAACTTAACAAAATAACGATTATTGATAGTTGAAAAGATGTACACAACTTTTAGATTCCTCATCATTTTTACGGTCTCAAAAGCATCTAGCTTTATTTCATAGGGTTTCATATTTCAAATATTTTAAATTATTCTGTATTTACTTTACTGATATGTGGATTTCTGAAGGCACACGATGGAATAAACTGAAACAGAAATATTCGTTATACCATAATTATTTTAAAACCAAACGTAAAAATACATGTATATATCCAAAATACACACACAGTCCTTTACCAATCCTCCGTAAAACCGTATTACGTAAAAGGTGTTGTAAAAAACTCCTTTTTTGGTATTGACAGGGTTTTTATTAACAGGGTTTTTCGGTTTACAAACATAGATTTATGTGACGTTTCCAGTTAAATCTAGATACTCGAAATCTAACAGGCCGTGGATCAGCTGTTGACGAAACGGAAGTCAACTGAGATACGAGGTAAATGGAAATAAACGGAGATATAACGTACATTTCTCAAATCTAGTGGCTGTGGTTTAAAACCATTACTTTGGAGTATTGGGTCACCATTAATTATCAGTAGCCTATAGTTCACCACAGAACGTATCGGCTCACCCCTTGCATTGCTGGATACGTTCCACGCACAGATCTGTGTGTACCATGTTCGAGCAGCAAGATAAAAGAACCCGCCAAAAACGAGAAATCTTAACAGTTGTGTTCAGCCGTTCACAAAGATAAATAAAATATTACAAATTTATATCAAACATAAATATACCAAGAGACTAGAAATTATTTCTAATTTTTTTTAAAATTTTTTTTTTTGCAAGCTGCATTTTAATTGCTAGAACAAAGTAAGATATAGCTTGATATTTAAAGAAACGTCGTTGGCCCAACCTCAAACCATCATCTGGCTTGAAAATCCGCTTACGCAAAGCATTTTTCTCGTTATACAGGTTACATAATCTTCGTCGTGGTATTTTTCTCCTTTTAGGTTTGTTTTTAACCTTTTGTAATGACTGAGTTTTAAATTTACTGTACAGTTGTCTACATTACCTAATGAGTTGTTTAATCAGATTTCTTTAAATTGTTTTCAGCAAATTTTCTTATAGGGAAGTAGCTATTACCGTAGGTGGTACGGTAATACTTTTTGCCGACTTAATTTTTCATTATGATATCACCAGAGGTTTTTGGTTTCTATAATTATATTACTTCATCTATGGTACGAGCCTTGGCTAGTGAATTAAAAACTTCTACGTGTTAACACTATTTACAAGAATTGCCAACACTACTTCACTTACGATAGTGTCTTCTTTTACTAAAAATCACTACTTGTAACTGCTAAGAGAGGTTATGTTTTCGTTTATAACTTCTCATTGCCACTGACAAGACAACGAAACTTTGTACCAAACACTAATTAATTGTACCACTAAACAATTAAATTAGCCTGAACAGCTGATTAGTGGAAGTTTGAATCATTAGAGTTTTACTTCTTCTCTCTCAATCCTTGAACCTCATTGGTCCGTTACCCGTGTTGTTACGAGTAAAACTATGCTGTTGTGAAAGTAAACAATGCTGATATGTGAAACTTTTCGATCCTAAAGAACTGAACTGAAACGGCTACTGGTACTTTAAAAAACGGTCGTAGGTAATAGTAGTTTACGTAACGATTGCGTAAAGTTAGTGTTAACGACACGAGTAGAAAATTTAAGGTACGATCCTTGGAGAGTGCCTTAAAAACTTCTACAAGTGTCGTTAACATTATTTACGCGAGATGCGTACACTACTTTACCTACGACATTGTTTTAATTACTAAAAATCACTACTCATAACTTCTAAAAGAGGTTATGTTCTCGTTTATGATCCCTCATTGCCACTGACAGTGATACAACGAAACATTGTATCAAACACTAATTGCACCAATCAACAATTAAATTGACCTGAACAGCTGATTAGTTGAATTTCAAGTCATTACAATTTTACTTCTCCTCTCTCATTCCTTGAACCTCATTGGTCAGTTACCCGTGTTGTTATGAGTAAAAGTATGCTGTTATGAAAGTAAACAATGCTGTTATGAGATAATTTTTAATTCTAAGAACTGTACTGAAACGGCTACTTTAAAAAACTGTCGTAGGTAAAATATAAGTACCATTCCGGGACTTTCCAATCACACTGTATAGGAGGGCTCAATAAGTCTTGCTTTACATATTTTCTACAAGTTGAGAAACAAAACTAAGCTCTGTGACGAATGGCTGGAGATACAAATCATCCAAATGTCAAGTCATTTGTCAACTGTGTTCTCTTACAGATTGTCTCAGTAGCAAACCACAGCTTTCCTACTTTGGTCACAGAGAAAACTGATTGCTGCTATAATGCGTGTATTTCTTACAGCTTCTACCGAGTAGATTTTTCAGCCCGATTCTCACTGAAAATATACGTTCGTAACTAAGTTCTTTTAAACCTGTGTAATAATTGGCATAAATTGGCATTTTGTTCAGTCCTGTACTTGAAATATGATATTGTCATTTGGTCAACACATCTAAAGATCTTGGGAAAGTGAATATTAATGAACTAAAAATAACCAGTAAATAAAATATAAGTTTTTGAAATCAATTTTGGTAGGCTACGAATTATAATACACACATTTTTCTATTTATAAAATAGAAATTATGTTTATTACAATTTTCAATAGTGAAACAAATTGAAGTTTTAACACGATTGATATACTAGTAAATTTTAAAATTATATAAAATAGTTATTTGTGCAACTAGTGAGAAAAGTGAGCAATTGACTCACTCGAGAGAAATCCTTACTCACGAGCCGTAGTAGAGTGAGGAATGGTTTCTCGAGTGAGGCAATTGTACTTTGAACTCGAGTTGCACATTATACTTTTCCTACAGTTACCATAAAACAAATAAATTTGTGAAGAAACATAACCTATTTTTACACAGAAGTGTACTTTTAATATAACATTTAATGTGAAGTGACAAATACAACAGTACAACAGCTGACCAGATGATTTACAGCCAGTGCTGCCAACGTATTTCGCGCGCATACGACGTTGCCTGCATGCTACGCGCTCACTATTTCGTGCCTTCACGTTGCAAATCTGGAGTGAGACAAAGTAATTAGAGTGAGACAATGTTAACATTGTCTCACTGATGAGCGAATTGGCCACTTTGCTTTCTCAAATCAGTGAGAGAACATGTACATTGTTAGGTAACTGTAGGAAAAACATATTTAATAAGAATAACTTGGAGAGAGTGATAATCTGTTACGAAATTGTTTTTAATAATATTTGAATGTTGTAACTTTTTTTATAATATTGTAACTTCTGTTAGAGGAGATTTCCAGTAAGTTTGATCCGTAATAATAGTAGTGGTACTATCCTTAATACTTAGGCCAACGGCTTACAACCACCGGAATTGAATAATTATTACACAGCATTGTTATGTATAAAAAGGTCTTTGTTGCACTGTACTCTAGCCAATAGAACCTCGGCTAGCATCGTTTAATACCTGACCGAGCTTTGATTGGGGAAATTAATTAATGTATTATGAGTAGTTAGTTATATATATATTAATTATTATTTTAATCTCCTTTATGCTTTTATGATGATGGTCTTGTACTGAGTACAAACTGAGTACAAAATGTTTTATGGCAATTATTACAACAAATAGATTCAGGTTTACAGCAAGAATTGTCAAAAACAAAATGTTACAAAATTGAATACTTTTTACTGTTTGCTTTCCTATATGAATGATTAAACATTGCATGCAACTGTAGTTGAACACACAGTAGTCAATGCAACCAATAAAATTCATGCGTGACCAAACATTCTTCAAAACTGTTGTTCCATCAGAACAAAACATCGTATTGGATTGTAATATAACGACTTCTTTAATATAATAAAACCATCCCACAGTGTTGGTGTCACCGAATTCCACCCTGAGACTTTTGCTAAAGAATGCCGTTATTAGATGTCCCAGCAGAAAACGTAAAATAACAGAGAGTTACCGGATTCCTTACACCTGTAACCTAAAATGTCATACAATATTGCTTGGCAATCTGTTAACAGATATTGGGTGAAGTTCAATCAGTGGAAATCGTTATTTTGTTTGTGTTTTGGAAAATGTTATCTTAGGAAACTCAATGTTGAAACTGTGCTCTCGACTAAAACAGAAGACATTAAAAAGGTTGTAGTCTTTAACATAATAAAGAATGAAACTCATAATTAGTCTATGTGTTCAAAATATAAACTTAACAATAGTATTAGCATGTAAAATATGGACAACTACCCTCCATCTATACTGCACGTGTTTTTGCTTTATGTGGAAATGGTACTTTTACCTAGATAATTACAGTAACTAGAATTCAAAAGGATTTATTAAAATACTTTTTATGAATAAATAGTTTTTATTCTTCTAGGAGTGACACATCCTCAGTTAGTTAAAAGTGAAGTCCCGAATGAATACTATACACCTGCAGTGAACGTTAGTGATATAGTTTCTTATTCTTATGGTTAGCTGACTTTCTTTGTTTAACGGAACATTGGTTAACATCGGATGAGAGTGACTGTTATAAGAATCTGCTTGACTTAAAACTTGCTAACATTTACTGTCGTAAAATTCATAAAAATGGAGGTACTGCCATATTTGCCAAGTCAAACTATGAATGCAGGAAAATTGACCTCGATACCTTTTGTCTAGAACTTGACTTTGAAGTAGCAGCTATTCTGATTGAAAATACTGGTACCATATTATTGTGTGTCTACAGATCCCCTAACGGGAATTTCAATAGCTTTATTGACCAACTGGACCAATGCCTGACTCATGTCTCGGGCCTCAATCCAAGAAACCTGATTTTGTGCGGGGATTTTAATATCCATCTTGAGTGTCCGTCTACTGAGGAGTCAATCTTTGTAAACCTACTCAGATCCTACGGACTGTATGTGGCATCCCGTCAACCAACAAGAGGGACGGCGTGTCTTGATTCTGTGGCGTCAAACTTCGACTCTTGGAAGGTGAAAGCTGAGGTTGTTCCATCGCTCGTGGCCGATCACGATGGTGCTGTGATCCTGAGTGTGAATTGCTCTGAGGTAAGCCTTAATTCTAACCCTTCTTGGCTTAAGGACTACTCTATCATAAAGCGACCCATCTGTATGGAAAATTTGCCTCTGTTTAGGTATGAGCTCTCTAATGTAGATTGGAGTACCCTGTACACATTGACCGAGCCTAAACTTGCTTTTGAGCTTTTCTCTAGTATATTTTTTGATGAATTTGATCATGTTTTTCCAGCCAAATTATATAACCCCAAGAGTAAAGTCTGTTCCGTTGGCTCTGGTTCAAGGCATAACAAATCAGCCAATTGTTGGTACACCCCTGAACTGAGGAGGATGAGAAATTACATGGCTTTTGTTCATGACCTGTATAAGGGCTCCAGTGATATGTGTAGGAAAGGGCAGCTCTATTCTCTTTATTTGGAGATCAAGAGGAACTATAGGGTTAGAGTTAATGTGGCCAAGAAATCCTTTAATGCAGAATCCATCCTTAGTGCCCCTAACCCATGTAAAGCTGCGTGGGACATTATCAATAAAGAAAGAGCGCCAGGTCCCGGGCCTAAAATCCAAGCATCCCCTGATGAGTTAAATGAATATTTTACAAGTGTGGCTGGAAACATCATCTCTGATCTACCTGTGTTGCAGACGGATCCTCTGGATTCTGTGCCGGACTACTCCTCCGTCCATTCATTTACCTGCTGGAATAGGGTGAGTGTAAGAGAGATATCCCAAATGATTAAGAATTTCAAAGACTCCAAGAGCCAAGATGTCTATGGCCTTTCTACACATGTTCTCAGGGCTGTTGCAGATCTCGTGGCCGTTCCTCTCACGCACCTGGTCAACTTGTGCCTGGCTCATGGATTTTTTCCGGACTCTCTAAAGAAGGCCCGTACTGTGCCCATCTTCAAGAAAGGGAACCCTACACTGATGGAAAATTTTCGCCCCATTTCTATCCTCCCTATCTTTTCTAAGGTGATGGAGACTGTGATGAAGAGACAACTCCTCTCATACTTTGAAAATAATGGCCTACTGGTGGACTCACAGCATGGCTTTCGTAGTGGTCGATCTACCACCTCCGCACTCCTGAGCCTGGTCGACACCATATCCCAGGCCTTTGAGGAAAATGAATCGGTCCACCTCAGCCTTTGTGACCTCAGCAAGGCTTTCGATGTTGTGTCACATGACATCCTTCTGGCCAAGCTGAGAAAATATGGTATCGGTGGCGCAGTTTTCTGCTCTCTTGCGGACTACCTTGGCAACCGCAAACAAATAGTAACAATTATGGGTGCTTCTTCTGCTATAGGCTCTCTTCCCCATGGAGTTCCGCAGGGATCGGTCCTGGGCCCTCTTCTCTTCACAATAATGATTAATGACCTTGCTACAACCAGCCATGCCCTCCTTTTTGCAGATGATACCACCTTGGTCACAAAGGGGAAGAACATCGACCCGCTGCTGGAGGAGGCAGACAACACCCTGAGGCTGGCCAAGGACTGGTTTATAGCCAACAAGCTTAAGATCAACGAGGAGAAGACTCAGATCCTTTTATGTTCCTTGAAGATCGGTCTTGAGGAAAACAGCGTGAAGCTGCTTGGGTTCTGGATGGATTCAAAGCTAAGTTGGCACCACCATATTGAAAAGGTATGTGTAAAGCTCTCAAGAGTTCTCCACCTTTTAAGGAAGCTTAGAACCACCATTACCAGACCGTATTTGCTAGCGGTGTATCATGCGCTGTTTCACAGTCACCTCACGTATGGCCTGGTTTTGTGGGGCCATTCTCCATGGACACAGGAATTACTTCTGCTACAGAAAAAGGCGCTGAGGATAATAACATCTTCTGGCTACAAAGCGCACTGTCGTCCCATCTTCCTGGAGCTGGGTGTGTTGACTGTTTATAGCCAGTATGTCCTCAATGTCTTGATCCTGCTGAAGGTTAATATCCACCATTTTGTTGTGAGAGACAATATTCATAGTCACCATACCCGTCAAGCTTGTGACATTGATTTGCCGAGATGCCGCCTAGCCCGCTCACTGAAGAGCTATCCTAGGTCTGCGATAAGGTTTTTTAATTCCTTGCCGGTGCATATACGCGACCTGGACCTAGACGATTTTAAGACGGCCCTACGTGACAGGCTGGTAAATAGGCCTCTTTACAGCCTTGAAGAGCTAGGCAACGAGCCACTTTTTGGCCATTGCCACAGTGTAAATAGTGTGTAAATAGTTTTCTTAGTATTAAGTAAATATGACGCAGTCATACCGATATTATCGGTCAACGACACAGACTTCAAGTATTCAAGTAAGTAAGTAAGTTAAGTTGGCTAAAAGTAAAGTTACGGTCAAATGCATCGTCCTTTATACAATGCTTTACTTTACTTCTGAAATGGCAACCATACAAAGGTAGGTATGGAATAGTGATTTGTCTACCTTCAGTAGGTTGCTAGATTCTAGCCCGAAACCGTTATCATATTACTTCAGTAGACATCTACTACTCAAATCTCAAAACGAGTTAATTGACTGTAATGAAATTCTTGCAAAAGTTGTACACTGTATTTGGATTTCAAATATAGGCCTACACGAACTTACAGTAATAGCCATGCAGCTTTCAAGAGACATTCTTCGGACCAAAAGTTGTGTTTAACATTTTATTCTCCAATGAGGGGGAGGGGGTTAAACCACAATAACTAAACAATACCGCTAGAGTAAATTTTACAGATTCTAACCATTCCGTCTAACCACTTGTTACACAAGGTGAAATGTACAACTTTTCTGTAACACCATGTAACACTTAATAGTCTGAACGATTGTTATAAAAGATAACCAAACTGTGTGTTTAGGCTGGATTAAAACAGACGACTCGATCCTTCTATTTTACTTTCGTTAATAATGGCGAATTTTCTTTACCGTCAAAATTAAAGGATAAATTTGAAAATCACTGCAAGAATTTTCTTAATTGCATATTTTATATGCAAAACTATATTTGCCATTATAATGCTATGGCTTCCAACTAAACAGTAGATATACTGTATATTAGACGATGTAACTGTTTTTGTATTTGCTGTTTTTTTCTCCCTCTAACATACACTTTTTAAATAATATTTTAATTTATTTGATTTATTAGATATTCACTTTTGAAACAGTCTCTGATAACTAAGTTAGTTCTTTGGTCGAGCACGAAGGGATAGTTTATTGTAACAATCTGCATTTCCAAAAGCAGAACTTACCAATGCAAATGTACTTCACTCTACAACGGTCCAGAGTTACTATTCAGTAAAGGGACTTTCTGATCGCATTTCGCATAATGTTCAATTTTAAATAAGTTTTACTTGGTCGAAGTCTTCTGTAACAAAACAGATTTTACTTTCATGAAATTGCATTCAATTCGTACAAGTACAAGTAATTACTTAAAATTTTCATTTAACTCATAGTGAATATGTCTGAATGAGCATATTCAAATTGTATTAAAATGTAGGCTTTGCGTACATTATTGAAAAACACCATCCATTGATTCTGTAACTATGTGTAAGCGAGAATAAAATTAAGCCTAATCGAAACATCAAAATATTATAGGAAAAACTACTTTAAAAGGTGATTTTCAATCGGCACCTATTTAAACAAAGTTGATAACCAGTGGTAGGCATTAGATGTTTGGAGGTGAAAAATGGCGGAAATTATACAAAGAACAATTGTTTTTAGATTTTTGTTACAGCTTTAATTAATATTTGAAACAATTTTCAACCAGTAGGATTATTTGTTAGAACAATTAAATGTTAAACATTTTATTTGGCCTTTTTTGGTTACTAAGATATTGGAAAATCTAAATACCCATGACATTGTGAAGAAAAATAAAAAAAAGTTGATAATCTCTAAAAAATAAAAATGCTTATAAATATGGCAAACGTGTTATCTCATTGTATGCTGTTTAAAAGACATTTTTGTGTATGGTAGGTGTATGGTTTGTAATGGTAGGAAACTAACTACTTTTCCAACAAATTTTATTGTGTCGTGAATCAACTTCGAATTTATATTTGGTTATGAACATTCAATGGATACCACATACTAGGTAGGATAGGTACCACTTAACTAGAAATAATTTTGTGTTTCAATTTGCTATAAGGAGTATTTCTAATAAGTAATAGTCAAAATATCAACTTCTCAAACACCGTAAGGTGTTTCAATAATGGCATTAAATAAGAACAGTTTCCACGTTTAGACGAGACTCTCTCTAATTAATTAGTAATTTAAATGCTGCGTGTACAGAATGAAAACGTCACATTTATTCTCTAAGGAATCAAAAGCGATGAAATATTTAAGAGGCTTTAAGCCTGAAGCGAACCGTAAAACAAACGCAGAACGCAGTTGACAAATTAACTGACTGTTTTGTATCTTAATTAATTCCTCTCCACATAAAATACTCTTGGTTTTCAGTTTCATCACCACTCTAGTACAGCAGAGATCGAGAAAGTGTAAAAACTATCACAATAGTTATATTCCAAACCATTTATTAACGTTATTTAAGATGATTTCCCTATACGGCAGAAGATGCGCAAATCTTTATACTAGAGAAGAATGTAAAATTGGGCGAACCTGACTAGCTTCTGCCTTATTCTACCCCGTTTTACAACTAAAAGTCGTAATATTTCAGCTATTTCTAATTCGATCTTTGTGATCTTGCTATTGTTTAGTAGGAAATTTAAAATTCCAAATAAAAGTGTTCCTGACATTTTTATTCATAAAATCAGACATTTTTAAGTAATTTAAGTTTAAAAATTAAAATGACCACCATTTTAAAATTTTAATTTAAATAAAGATAATATTTTTCTTATATGGGTCCCTCTACCTTAACGTACATACCAAGTTTCATCAAGATCAGTTGAAAAAATTCAAAGATAGAAATTTTTATAAATGTAAAAAATACAAAATGGCGAATATCTGGTTAAAAAACGATTTAAAAAAACGTGTAAATTATGTCCCCACCTTTTTTGGACACCCTGTATAATAAGCTATGAATATTTGAATTGCAAACGTCCCACTGCCGGTGAAAGCTTGAATATACACCAGAAAACGAACATAGATTTTGAGGAAAACACGTATTTTTTTGCCCCAGCCCTTACAATTTCCGTCTGTAATTTTGACTACGCGGTTAAGCTGACAGGAACTTGAAAATAAGTTAGCCGTCGATTTCCGCTTATCGACCAGAGCGCCTCAGAACTAACGGCTGGAGACACGTCCGCCATGTCTTCCGTTTCCGCTTGGGGGTGAACCACGGCCTTCTCAATCACGTGGCCAACATGAGCGAGTAAAATGCTGTATTATAACTGTATTTTTATTACGAAGTAAGCAATTAAACTTACCGTAAAATTTGTAGGTTCGTCAAAAATTTATCTGGTCTGAAAATAATTTTGAAATTGCCATATCAAGGACTGCATTTTCGAATGCTAGTTAAGTAAATTAAAATTTTCCATCTCAGTCCTTTTAGCTAAGGGTTTTGTGGGGTAAACACTGGGTGTTGTCATTTTTGGTCCTCAAACATAACAATTTGCATTTTTCTGTCTAAACCATTTTTAGAGCTTAAAAACAAATACTTTTGTATATTGAAGCATGTTTGAATGCCTAATGGTTACGAAGAAGGATTGAAAAAAGTGTCAATTAAAATATCTATGTTGTTCTTATGGAGGATTCGAAAACTGTTGTAGTTTGCTTGTTTGTGGATATACGTATGTTAATTGAATTTAGCAAATTGTTTTTTTTTTAATACAATGCTATCAACATTTTAATAAAAAACATTTCAATAGGATACCTGAAGCAGCAAAACCTAATAACTAATTAAAATAATGTTTTAGAAAAATTTCATAGGAAATAAATTTAAAAATTATAAGGGAATATTTAAGTGAAAATCCAGCTAGGTTTGCTGCAACGTGGCGGAAGTATTTTTCTTTCCAGAGGATGATTATAGTGTTGAGACATACCGTATCATTCAAAAACTTTATAACGTGTTTGCATTATTTATAAAAATAGTGAAACTACGCGGCTTTTTTAGTTAATTAGCCTAAACGTGTCTAGTGTTTGTGCAAGCCTACTGTGGTAACAAAATTTGTCGAGTCATAGCAGATGTAATGGTGGTTTTGGATACGATATTATTAAACTGTTTGCCTTTTACATATAATCGTATGGTGTGCACAACTGTGTTTAATAGTATACAGTGTGGTAGAAAAGTCCTGGAACGGTTTAATACATTTTTTACCAATATAGATAAAGTAATGAGACTTAATATATCAACAATAGCCATAAATTTCTACTCTTTTAAGCTATTATCACTTTTTTATCCCTTAAGGGGGACGGCCCACGAGGAGTCAGACAAAATTCTTAAATAGCAGCATAGGTCAAGTTTGGTATCAAATTAAAGGTCTTAGTTAGTAGAACACATTGCCACAAACCCGAACTCAAACAAACAATTGTGTCAAAAGTGGCAGCCATACACTTGAATCTGCCATTTTGAATCTTTGAGCGGCTGCCATTTTTTACTCAGTTGTGCTATTGGGCTCAAATTTGCGGTATTGTATTCTACTATTTAAGACCTTTAATTTGATGTGCATATCGGACTATGCTTACGTTAATATTTTCTTCCAAATTCTCGCGGTCGCCCCTTTGAGGAGGTAGCGTAGCAATATAAATACAATGAATCTTTGAACAGCTTTCATTTTTGACTCAGTTTTCCTTTTGAGTTCGGGTTTGCGGCAATGTATTCTACTAACTAAGGCCTTTAATTTGATACCAAACTCGACCTATGCTGCTATTTAAGAATTTTGTCTGACTCCTCGTTGGCCGTCCCCCTTAAGGGATAAAAAAGTGATAATAGCTTAAAACAGTAGAAATTTATGGCTATTATTGATAAACCAAGTCTCATTACTTTATCTATATTAGAAAAAAAGTTATTAAACCGTTCCGGGACTATTCTACCACACTGTATAATATTTATTATGGCCATTTTTGGATGTATAGGTACCCAAAAATGGCACAATTAAAAAGCGTCGATAAAACCTTTATTAAATTACAAGTACCTCTTCCAATGGACCACAACTTATTAATTCACTTTTTCATTCACTTAATTAGATAATGGTTTACACATGTGATTCAATATTCAATATGATAATTTATTATTTCATACTTTGCCAAATATAGTCTATAAGTATAAAAGAGGATGTTTGTATATATATTTG